TACCAACCACTCCAACATTATCCCCCCCTGCTTTTAACATTTCTGTCATGATCCCATCATACCAGCTGCTTTACCCCCCTTTCATTTTACGTAATGCCTCACGTACCTCCCCCACACTTACATTCTCTCTTCTTCACTCCTAAAAGATGGTATACCTCCCTGACCAGTGCATGAAATTACTGCCTCTGTTTCTTCCTTAACATTTAAAAGTTCCTCAAAATATTCTCGCCATCTACCTAATACCTCCATCTCCCCATCTACTAACTCCCCTATTCTGTTTTTAACTGACAAATCCATATTTTCCCTTGGCTTCTTAATTGTTTAACTCACTCCAAAATTTTTTCTTATTTTCATTAAAATTTTTTTGACAGTGCCTCTCCCACTCTATTCATCTGCTCTCCTTTTGCACTCTCTCACCACTCTCTTTTACCTTTCTTTTACCCCTCCATATATTCTGCTCTTCTTATAACACTTCTGCTTTGTAAAAACCTCTCTTTAAGCTACCTTTTTCTCTTTATCACACCCTTTACTTCATCATTCCACCAATCACTCCTCTTTCCTCCTGCACCCACCCTCCTAATAACCACAAACTTTCTGCCCCACATTCTAATAACTGCATTTTTAAAACTATTCCAATATATAATAATATATATAAAAATATATAAATAAATATATATATATATAAATATATATATATATATAATATATATATAATATATATATATTTTATATATATATTTTATATATATAATTGCATGCATGCTTGCATGTGCGTGTCTGTGAAGTGTGACCAAAGTGTAAGTAGGAGTAGCAAGATATCCCTGTTATCTAGCATGTTTATGAGACAGAAAAAGAAAATAAGCATGAAAGTCAGTATGGTATAGGACACTGAAAAAGTACAGGAAGACATAACCACGGTTTTCCAGTGGGCAGTGGAAAACATGACGTTCAATGATGATAAGTTCCAGCTGCTTAGGTATGAAAAGAATGAAGAACTCAAAAGGAGCACTATTTACAAAACTCAAGAGGGTCACCAAATAGAATGCAAGGAACACGTTAAAGATCTAGGAATAATTATGTCAGCGGACCTTTCTTTTAAAGACCATAACAAGACAAAGATCACGACAGCCAGGAAGATGACTGGGTGGGTATTGAGAACTTTCAAAACAAGGGAAACAATGCCGATGGTGACACTCTTCAAATGGCTAGTGCTCCCTCGCTTAGAATATTGCTCAGTGCTGATGGCCCCGTTCAGGACAGGAGAAATATCGGAGCTGGAACAAATACAGAGATCGTTTATGGCTCACATTGAGCCAGTAAAGCACCTAAACTACTGGGAATGCCTTCAAGTCTTGAACATGTACTCATTGGAGCGGAGGAGAGAAAGGTACATGATAATATATACCTGGAAGGTACTCGAGGGCTTGGTCTCAAATCTGCACACTGCCATAACAACATACTGGAGTGAGAGATATGGGAGGAAGCGTAAAATAAACCCAGTGAGGAGCAGGGGTGCGGTGGGGACAATAAGGGAACACTGTATCAACATCTGGCGTCCCAGACTTTTCAACATCTTACCAGAAGATATCAGAAACACTGCTGGAACGAGTGTTGAAGCCTTCAAGAGGAAACTAGACAAGTATCTTCAGGTGCCAGATCAACCAGGCTGTGATGGATATGTGGGGCAGCGGGCCTCCAGCAGCAACAGCCTGGTTGACCAGGCGAGCACCAAACGAGCTTGGCCCACGGCCGGGCTCAGAGAGTAGATATACTCTCGAAATTCTTCAAAGGTATATATCAAAGGTATGTGGACAATATTGATATACCTGTGCTCATTAAACAGTCATATTATGTGAGCTTTGTGTGTGTGATTGTGTTAGTACACATTTTGAAATGTAACCCATAAAATTAGCACTGTGAACCTGGGTAACAAATTTGAGTGTGATGAGTTTTTCATTTGGTGCTCTGTATGGCTAGGCAGCCACAATATAGCCTTTTACTGCTTGTGTGCTGAAGCCTACTACTGAGTTAGGGTTTTGTACGTGTTGTATTCACTAGATGCTTCTCCTAACCTTACTAGCAGTGAGTGTGAAGTGCCATAGCAGGCCTTCCACACTCTTCTACCAAACACAGCATTATCAGGTACCCTTCACTATTAAAGAGATGTAAAATAAGAGTTGTAAAAACAATTCAAGTACATAAAGCATTGCATTATGATATATTTGGGCTAACAATCCTCACTCGCCTTCCTGACACTACCTCCCACATTTCTTGATTATTTTTTCCATCTTTTTACTTTACCAGATGCATTTGTGTTTGGTATGTGCTAGATTGGGGTAGGGATGGTGGACACCTTTTTGTTTTAATACAATTTGGTAAAATAATTTGTGCTGTAAATTTGACTTGTGCTCACTTGTGTAGAGGGCCTAGCAGTCAGTCACCAGGGATCTCATCCCTCAGTCAGGAACATACTACAAAGTATGCTACACTGTTTAACATGGCTGCCAAAAGCTAGCCAAGTTGTATGTTATTTTATTTAAAAATGTTTGGTGGAAATTTATGCACCCTCTTGGTCATACTATTCTGCTTCATCCCTACTATTCTGCTTCACACCCTTATAAAAATATGGGTACAGTACTTCTGTATTCTGGCATTTCTCATTTTTCTTCTATAGATGAACTTTCCACAGATGCCTCAGCACACCACCCACCTTTCTTCACTTCATCTAGTAATAAATTTTATTTACTTAGTTAAATGTTGCAATCAGTGGGTTAAATAGCATTTTAGGAGCTTTGTTTTCAATGCATTTTACATGTATGGGGAATGTTCATATATCCCTGATGCATTGTTTTTTTTTTTTCATAAATCTGGGAATTCCTAAGGGAAAAACAATGCGATGAAAGGAGGGACCTTTCTCTGGTAAGATTGGAAGAGCTGCTAGTAATTATTCCTAGTTTTACTGCTAATCTTGATGTATTTAGGCATTTAATTTATATATTGCTATTCTCATTTCTAAAACAGTACAAGAACTTGGAAAGAAGTATGCTTCGCATGTGTAGACAATGAACAATTCCGTTTGGCTCAAAACTGTGGCCTTCATATTGTTGTCCATGCTGATGAACTGGAAGATCTCATAAACTATTACCAGGTAAATTATAAAATGTCACTTCAGAAATAATGCTAGTTTTATAGATTTAATTCCTATATTTTGCCCTAGTGGGCACTTCTAAGGAATTTTCCAAATGCTGACATAAGAATTGCATAATTTTTTAATAAGATGAAAGGAGACAGTTGAAAGCATTGTTACTTTAGATGTATTAATACAAGGAAAATTTCTGTATATATCACTTAAATATTATTGGTATAAATATGCATTTAATTATATGTATAATTGTGTGCTTCTCAGGACCGTGGATATTTTGACGAGTTGATTAACTTGCTAGAGGCTGCTTTGGGGTTGGAACGTGCTCATATGGGTATGTTCACAGAACTTGCCATTCTTTACTCAAAGTACAAGCCAGAGAAGATGAGAGAACACCTCGAGTTGTTCTGGTCCAGGGTCAACATTCCAAAAGTAAGTGATTGAAATATAAACCTTATTCTTTCCACTCTTAAACATATTGAGCTACTTCCAGAAGATCTGTGGGATAGCAAGCAGATCTCTTTGTAGGTGATAGCCATGGGTTTGTAAGCAGATCTTTTGATGATCTAAATGGGAAAAATTGCAAATGTAAATGGAGGTAGCCTTAATTGGGAGTGGTTGAAGGGAAAAATAAAGTAACATTTATTTGGTTTGATGTTTGTAATGGAATATAGACTTCTATTTTTTGATTGGTGATATCAATTTTTTACCATTTCATAGAGCACTTGGACTATTTCTTTTCTCGTAGGTTTTACGTGCAGCAGAGCAAGCACATTTATGGGCTGAGCTTGTATTCCTGTATGACAAATATGAGGAGTATGATAATGCTGCTCTCACCATGATGGCTCACCCTACAGAAGCCTGGCGAGAGTCTCATTTTAAAGATGTCATCACAAAAGTAAGTTCAATATTTTACTCTCTTTACAGACATTCTCCCTTTTTGTTGATATTCTTAATGTATTTAGTGAAATCTTTATTTATAAACTTTTATTCTTTTCAGGTTGCCAATATTGAGTTGTACTATAAAGCCATCCAATTTTACTTAGATTACAAACCAATGCTACTGAATGATTTGTTGCTAGTCCTCTCGCCAAGGATGGACCATACAAGAGCTGTCAGCTTCTTTACTAAGGTATGTAGGATACTCTTTGTTTGATTATGTAGTTAAATTATATGTTTTACCAAGGACATTGAAAAAATAATGGAATGTTTTTATAGATTGCAGTGAATTAAAGAATCTTTGCTTAATTAATATATTAAACTCATGATGTTTGAAGTTAAATTACCTGTTTGAAAATTTTATGATTTGCTTTTTTCCTTTCAGGCCAATCATTTGAAACTGGTTAAGGGTTACCTAAGATCAGTTCAGTCGCTGAATAACAAAGCTATCAATGAGGCACTTAACTCGTTACTCATTGAAGAAGAAGACTACACTGGCTTAAGGACTTCCATTGATGCATTTGACCACTTTGACAACATTGCTTTGGCACAATCCCTAGAGAAACATGATTTGATTGAGTTCCGCAGAATTGCTGCATACCTGTACAAAGGCAACAATAGGTGGAAACAGTCTGTGGAGCTGTGCAAAAAGGATAAGCTATTTAAGGTACAGTATTATAAAATGTTGAAGATGAGAAACCTGCTATGATTATGGAACTATTTTATTCATTATCATTTGTTCAGAGAAGTCTAAACCAGATTTTCACCAAATTTTAATGTTAAATTGTTGAATTCCATTTTACATGGGGAGCAAGGACATGTATTCATACTGTGTTTTCCAATTACTGTAGGGTATGGTGAATATCCTGATCAGTATTGGGCATTTGTCTGTATGAAGTATTTCAGGCATTCACCAGGGTGATAATTACTGGTTATAAATTTTAGGAAAAAGTAATTCCAAACTGATGCTTAAATCTGAATGTGTCTACCTTGCACAGCTTAATAAAAGTAAGAAAATGTTTGCAAAATTAGTTGCTAAGCTGAATCTTTCAACCCTGTTGTGGTGATAAAGGGTGGGGGACCAATAACTTGAGCTCAGAGGTGCTTAGAGTACCAGTTTTTGTGTACAAAATATAATACGAGGAACTGAGAAGAAAGCTGATGAACTCGCCAATTGTCACTTGAGAAAATCGTCTACAAACTTTAGTGAAATGTGTCCAACAATATTTTAGTTACCACTCGTATAATTTTGATGAAATTGGTCTTATTTTAGAGCACATTTATTAAGCTTCAAGGTGTTATGGCAAGTTTGTTTTCTTGGGAGTCATATCACTGCTTTTGGGTATGATCACATGGTCAAACATCCCTTTATGCTTAGTGGGGAAAGGCAGGGTGAAAGTGATGAACACGCCAGAGTGATGTACAGTAAATGATACTCGAAAGAATGATGAACATTTCAGTATAGGAAACTCAATTTTTGGCCAAAGGCAAATTTGTCAGTTTTCTTCTCAGTGCCTTTCTGTATGACCCTAGTGGGTTTAGTGCTTCTTTTTTAATATAATAATAATTCTCAGTTCCTTGTACAACTTTATTTAGTATTAATAATCTCTGTTAATTATGAGCGTATGTTGGTAATGGTAGGTAGTCAATAAATGTAAAATACTGAATTTCCCTCATATCAAGGATTTATTGCTCTAAGAGCAAGAATTTGTATTTATACTTTTGTAGTGTGTGTGTGTATATACTTACATGCTCTTCAGCATACAAGATTTAGAATCTTAATGGACAGTGATTCTTACTTATTTTTAATTTAATAGTAACTATATACTATGTGATGTAATTTTGTTGCTAATTGTAGTTATGCCTAGAGATGGATTACTTATCTCTCTACTTCTTTAAATGCATTCTCATTTACTGCATTTACATTTAATATTTTAATGATGAAATCAGGTTTTGGAGTGGTTGGTGCAATTATTTAATAAATGTATGGAAGAGGGTAAGGTACCTAGGGATTGGCAGAGAGCATGCATAGTTCCTTTGTATAAAGGCAAAGGGGATAAAAGAGAGTGCAAAAATTATAGGGGGATAAGTCTGTTGAGTGTACCTGGTAAAGTGTATGGTAGAGTTATAATTGAAAGAATTAAGAGTAAGACGGAGAATAGGATAGCAGATGAACAAGGAGGCTTTAGGAAAGGTAGGGGGTGTGTGGACCAGGTGTTTACAGTGAAACATATAAGTGAACAGTATTTAGATAAGGCTAAAGAGGTCTTTGTGGCATTTATGGATTTGGAAAAGGCGTATGACAGGGTGGATAGGGGGGCAATGTGGCAGATGTTGCAAGTGTATGGTGTAGGAGGTAGGTTACTGAAAGCAGTGAAGAGTTTTTACGAGGATAGTGAGGCTCAAGTTAGAGTATGTAGGAAAGAGGGGAATTTTTTCCCAGTAAAAGTAGGCCTTAGACAAGGATGTGTGATGTCACCGTGGTTGTTTAATATATTTATAGATGGGGTTGTAAGAGAAGTAAATGCGAGGGTCTTGGCAAGAGGCGTGGAGTTAAAAGATAAAGAATCACACACAAAGTGGGAGTTGTCACAGCTGCTCTTTGCTGATGACACTGTGCTCTTGGGAGATTCTGAAGAGAAGTTGCAGAGATTGGTGGATGAATTTGGTAGGGTGTGCAAAAGAAGAAAATTAAAGGTGAATACAGGAAAGAGTAAGGTTATGAGGATAACAAAAAGATTAGGTGATGAAAGATTGAATATCAGATTGGAGGGAGAGAGTATGGAGGAGGTGAACGTATTCAGATATTTGGGAGTGGACGTGTCAGCGGATGGGTCTATGAAAGATGAGGTGAATCATAGAATTGATGAGGGAAAAAGAGTGAGTGGTGCACTTAGGAGTCTGTGGAGACAAAGAACTTTGTCCTTGGAGGCAAAGAGGGGAATGTATGAGAGTATAGTTTTACCAACGCTCTTATATGGGTGTGAAGCGTGGGTGATGAATGTTGCAGCGAGGAGAAGGCTGGAGGCAGTGGAGATGTCATGTCTGAGGGCAATGTGTGGTGTGAATATAATGCAGAGAATTCGTAGTTTGGAAGTTAGGAGGAGGTGCGGGATTACCAAAACTGTTGTCCAGAGGGCTGAGGAAGGGTTGTTGAGGTGGTTCGGACATGTAGAGAGAATGGAGCGAAACAGAATGACTTCAAGAGTGTATCAGTCTGTAGTGGAAGGAAGGCGGGGTAGGGGTCGGCCTAGGAAGGGTTGGAGGGAGGGGTAAAGGAGGTTTTGTGTGCGAGGGGCTTGGACTTCCAGCAGGCATGCGTGAGCGTGTTTGATAGGAGTGAATGGAGACAAATGGTTTTTAATACTTGACGTGCTGTTGGAGTGTGAGCAAAGTAACATTTATGAAGGGATTCAGGGAAACCGGCAGGCCGGACTTGAGTCCTGGAGATGGGAAGTACAGTGCCTGCACTCTGAAGGAGGGGTGTTAATGTTGCAGTTTAAAAACTGTAGTGTAAAGCACCCTTCTGGCAAGACAGTGATGGAGTGAATGATGGTGAAAGTTTTTCTTTTTCGGGCCACCCTGCCTTGGTGGGAATCGGCCGGTGTGATAATAAATAAAATAACAACCTAAATTGTGTACAATACACTTCTAATTTTGATCACTGACTGCAGTCAGCAGACATTGCATTTCTTTCCTGAGGTTACTCAGTAACCATATTACCAGATGCCACGACTGTTTAAATTTGTTTATTTTATACTTTTGTCCTACATGGTATGACCCTTGTAGGTTTAGCACTTCTTTTTTTATTATAATATGCTTTTGGCACTCGTCTCAAAATAAAGAAAATGAGTAGGACAGTATTTGTAAGTTCACAGGGAACGTTCAGAAATTGAAGTTGAGAATAGTGTAGGAAAATTACCATAAGTGAAAGAAGGTTAGTTTAGTGGATTTTTTCACTAATGTTCCGTATCTTCTAGGATGCCATGGAATATGCTGCTGAAAGCAAGAATTCTGATACTGCAGAAGAACTTCTACAATGGTTCCTGGAAAATGGCAATTTCGATTGTTTTGCTGCTTGCCTTTTCCATTGTTATGATCTCCTCCATCCTGATGTAATATTAGAACTGGCATGGAGGCATAATATCATGGACTTTGCCATGCCTTATTTAATTAATGTAATGAGAGAGTATGTCACAAAGGTAAACAAACTGGAAGACATCGAGAAACATAGGTCAGAAGAAAATGAAACTAATGAGAGCAAGCCTATGATGAATATGATTGGTGAGTAGCTCCTGCACCCATTGCTTTGATTGGTTTTTGTTTTCGAACTACACTTTCCATCAGCTACTTCATTTGTATGTTAATTGGATCTTGCCATACTTCCTGTATGCCTATTTTCTCTTTCTGGTATATTGTGTGAATGCCTTTTGAGTATTACACTTTGTAAATTCTTATTCCACTTAGATTCTCATAATTTTGCATCATGTGAAGGCATGGGAATTTTTATTTATATTCTTTTATTTAGATTCATTTTTTTTTTGTTTGTTTACAATCGCACAAGTGTCTGTGGCCAAAAGCTCCAAAGGTGTGTCCCTTGCAGGTGAGCCTCAGCTTATGATCACAGCTGGCCCGGGCATGATGGGACCAGGCTACTCCAACGCTGGTTACGCTAACAACATTAACTACGGTGCTGGCATGCCATCCTACCAAGGTTACAGCATGTAAACACTAATTCAAGATTCTCCAAAAATTAAGACCAGTGTGAAAACTTTTCAGGTTGGTTCGTTAGTAACAATAGACACTGATTTATCAAGGCTACAGCTTGTAACTAATAAGAGCCTCCCAAAATATTCCATAAGTTTGCCAGTTGTAAAATAAACCAAGTTGACTACTCCAGGGATGTGTGTCCAAATTCTGCCTCTAGAATTCTGCAAGTTAATTAAGGTATAAATGAGGGAGAATTTGTGGTGTCAGGTGAGCAAACTAAAGCTTATTGTTGAGTAGTGTGTGGTTAGCATGAGGATGAATGAGTGTTGTAGAGGCATTCAGGTCATTCAGTTGGCTGATCCACAGATAGTCATCCTGTTATTCAATAGCTGTCCTCCAGTTGGATTTGTAAGAAATTTGTGGAGGTGTGGGGGCAAGACATGCTGCCTCATACTATATTTTCTTTTCCTTTGAATGCTGTGGTGTAAAAAAAAAACAGATATAACTACTGTTTCCCATTGTATATAGTTTATCCCATCATGACTTGGCTGAATGTGATGTAGTATTGTTTTACCTGTTCCTCTTATGATGATTTATGATTGGTGTCTCAGTATGTTACAGTTGACTTAGGATTATAATTAGATTATGTATATATAAATTGATAAGATTGATTAAACATAATATTCCTGGTGAAACATGTTCTGTAAACATAGGTGTGATGTTGTGGACTAAAGATTGGGCATTCACCTGTCTACATCAAACCATTCCTAAAACTTAACCGATTAGTAAGGTGTAATGCCTTATCTTCCCAGTCCAAATGAAGATAGAATGTGAAATAACTGAAGCTTTGTCCATTGTGTGCCTTCAAATAGCCGATGGAAGAAGGCTTTACAAAGACTGTTCTTTATCAATGAGATATTGCTTTCCAAAGGCCAATGGTCTGTGTTCAATGGTTGTTCATTAGTAATGTAGGTTACTTCCAATTGGTATGGCTAGAGCAGCTCTCCCTTGGAACAGCCTACCTCATTGAAATTGAAAGCCTTGTTTCTACCTTTGGCACCATTTTGGTGGCTATCGAATTCATCTGATAAGAGGTCTATCTTTGTTTTAAAATATGCAAAGGATTTGATTGCTAATCAAAGCCTTAATGGTGAATATAATGTGATGGCCAGCATTACAGTGTGGTATAGGGGGTGAGACTAGTATCCAAGTGTAAATTTGAAAGTTATCTAATGTTTGATAATGAAGAACCACTGCATTCTTACCTATCACCTCCACTTTTTATTTAAATTTTTTATAGAAAATTCTTTTTCTAACAGTAGGAAACATCTGTGGACATTAAAAGCTTCAATTATATTTAGTATCTTTATAGTTAATTATTGAGAATTGTATTTTTTAAGTTATAGACTATTGAGAGTTTTAAAAAGTATTTATTATTCATAGGGAACATTGTTTTGCATGTACATTTGTGTGGTGAAGAAGCCGATCCACTCCAGCCAGGCTTTGAGACTTCTCTTGACTCCTAACATTCAGTGGTTGCCTCAAACTTAGAGCATATGTAGTGTGGCCACATGTCAAGTTTAAATAAACACCTCCCACATGATCTGACTATTTAATTCACCTTTATGTATATGTACCTGCCTATTTAAGTTTGTGGAAAGGTGGGATCAGTGTTAGTTTAGGCTCTTATAACTTAGACTAACAGGAATGTATTGTCTTAGATTTAATGAAATTTTCATTTGCCATTTAAAGCTTATTTTTGGAAAAACTAGCAAAAATGCATAGGTATTTTGCATACATTGTAGTTTTCATTGGTGCCTTAGAATTCTCTGGCTTGGACTTCCTTTGCTAAGGTATGGTATATATTAGTTTTTTTCTCCAAGTTTATCCGCAGGTCTTTCATCGAGTGGCTACAGGTTGAGAACTTGCCAAAATTGGTTGGTTATGGATTCTTTTGCAGTCATGCAAGTGATGTGATGGCATTGACTGGGTAGGCTAATTAGCTTACTGGTGGTCCAATGTAGAATTAAGCATCGAGGCATTTGAAGAGTAAGGTACAGTTTAGTGGAGAAGCACTAAACCCAGAGGGTTTAGGGCTTCCTCACTAAAGTGACTCCTGGCATACTTATCCACTATTCATGGCCTACCAAACTCTGTGTTTGAGGAATGAAAGGTAATCATGTTTGATCCAAGAAAGAGGTAAGTGTAGTTTGATACAGAACCCTTCATTTACTTTAAAGGGTTGCTGCATATTCTCAAGGAAGAGCTTTGCCTCCCATACCCCCCCCCTATCAGGTTAGATCCCCCCCCAAAAAAAAGCTCCAGTTCCTTGAATTAAAAACCCCCTCCCTTTGCTGGCCTTAGGAACATCCTTCCACACCATTCTTCAAGGTGGGGGGGGCATACAGCACAAGGAAATGAGGCACTTGAATTTGACTGGGATAGCTCCAATTCCTTGGATGAATTATAAAATAACTAAGCACTAAACCCACAAGGGTCATGCAGCACTGGGATCCTTGGGTGAAGAATCAATTAAAAAGCAATATTTAAAGGGGATGGAGCAAAATGAGATGACTGGGTGTATACATCTCTAGTTAAGGGAAGGCAGGGCAGCAAACTAGATAGTATTATGGGGGTGGTAAACCTGTAGGGATTATAGTGCCTGTGGGGGGGTGAAGCTGGAAGGCATTCAAGCTTAATCTGGAGAACTGGAGCTCTAGATAGTAGAGGCAAACTGTTTTTGGGAAACCAGTTAGCTAGACTTTAGTGGGGTGGGGATGTTTGCAGTTTTGAGGGGTATCTGAACCGTATTGTTGAACCTCTGGAAATTATAATCAAAAGCGTTAAACCTACAAGCGTCAAAGCACAGCAGAGCAGGGCATAGTGCATGATTATAGAATAGTAAGGGTGGAGTGGAGAGCAGAGGAAGTTAGAAAGGGCTGTGAGGAGTGCTAGAGGAAGTATCATCAAAGTTTGTAGCAAGTCAGATGGTCAAAGTCAACGAGGGAGTCTGAGTCAAAGGTGGGTCAGTCAGCAAGGAGGGAAGATAAAGGAAGGGCATTATAGTGGTGACGATGTTGAAGGTATATTCTCATGGTGCTCGTTGTATAACCCTTGTGGGTTTAGCGGTTAGTTTTGATTAATAGTGAATGATGAAAGTTTCTTTGAGCCACCCTACCTTGGCGAGAGATGGCTGATAAAAAAAAGTGCTAAACATGTATATTATTATTAAGAGGGAAGTGCTAAACCCGGAGGATTATACAGCACCTGGGGGGGGGGGATGTGGAAGGCATTCAGGCTTAATTCGGGGTAAACATGTATAGGCCATACATGTTTAGCACCATGGGAGATTCTGGAGCTAGAATTGCTCCAGAATGTCATTACATGCAAGAAAGCCTCAATATATGATGGACTAGACCCATGGCAAGAATTAAGGGAGATGTCCTTGCGAATCTTTAGTGTGTTGTCAACAAAGTGAAAGATTGTGCCTGCTTTACCCCTCAAGGAAGGTTCCTTGATGTTGGTGAGGGGCTCTTGATTTAGGAAATTGGATCTGTGCTCCAGTTCCCCGAATTAAGCCTGAATGCCTTCCACATCCCCCCCCCCCAGGCGCTGTATAATCCTCCGGGTTTAGCGCTTCCCCTTGATTATAATAATAATAATGTGCCTGCTTTGCATTTTGTATTGCGACAATGTGTTTGCCACTCTTAAGAACATAGGAAATGTTTAGCCCAACGTGGAGTGCCTTGCTATTGCTGTGGTCAGAAAGATAGTAAAAGTGGGTTGGAGCATAAAGAATTAATCCATGAAGGACTTCGAAACAGAGTGGAAGGGGAGGAAATGCTTAGTTGGATATTCCTTAGAAGTGCAAGAGGTAACCGAGTTAGTCACCAGTGAAAGGTTGAAGTCATTTGGATGGAAGGCTAGAGGGGGGGGGGGCTGTCCCGAGTCGTGTAAGGTCCGAAAATTGATGCACCACATGTGGAGAAGCTGGGATCATAGTCAAAGCCGTATGGAAGTCAGGAGCGTCTTAAGGGTCAGCCGGAACCATGGTACCAGAAGGTAACTGGAAGAGGGGTCCAAAGGCATGCAAGGGTCTGGGAGGCAGGTCATGAGTATATTATTATTATTATAATCAAAAAGAAGTGCTAAGCCACAAGGACTATACAGCAGGTCATGAGTATAGGACTCCATAAATATCACTAGGAAAAAAAAAAGGGGGGGGGGGGAGGGTTTAGCTCCCAGGAGGAATGACAGGGCCCACAGTACAGATGCAATGTGGAACCCATGCTGGTAAACCAGTAATCCAGGATAGCAACCTCACATCCTCCTAGCCACCTCAGTGGACAAGAGGGTAGCTGGAAACCCACCACAAGGCATACCTCTCTTGGCTGCCACCACCACATGGAACAGACAGGCAGCCTCCAGATTATTATTATAATCAAGGGGGAAGCGCTAAACCCGTAGGATTATACAGCGCCCGGGGGGGATGTGGAAGGCATTCAGGCTTAATTCGGGGAACTGGAGCACAGATTCAATTCCCTAAATCAAGAGCCCCTCACCAACATAAAGGAACATTCCCTGAGGGGGGGGGGGCAGCCTCCAGAGATACACCCATCACCTGAAGGACACCCTAAGTCACCCCTCAGAACTCCAAAGGGAGATTGGGACATCCCCAGATGATCCAGATTCCATGGTAAACACCCCCACCAAGGACCTCAATGGAATGGGATGGATAACATCCTTTCCCCAACCTAGGAGCTAGAATTCTTGAGGGAAGGACCTCAAAGGCTAAAAGCAGGGAAGGAGTGGAAGGGTAGTTGGGGTCGGTTGGAGGAAGAAGACAAAGGTCCAATTCCTCAGACCAAAAGCCTCTTGGCTGCAACAAGAAACCCCCCCTTAAAGAGTCCTTAGATCAAGATCTCCTCACAAACATCAAGGATCCTACCTTGAGGTTATATACAAATGAAATAAAACCACCAATACTTGAAAAAATGTATTTTCCCAAGGCTGACATGTGATCGATGGGGCAGGAAGGAGATCTGAAGCTTCCAGTCACTAACCATTTCAATGAAATTTTTATAAGTGACCTTCATAATTTGTTCTCCTTCTGCTGAAGCCATCCAGTGTCTTACTTTTGATCAAATTTAACAGCACATTACAAAGTGACGTGCATGTGAATGTTTTAATCTCGTCTTAAATATGTACCTGAAAGTTTTTTTTTTTCTTGAGCAAAGTAATAATCACTGAGCAGCTGATCATCTGGTATAAAACAGCCATAACTGAGCTCTTAGTATGATAAGGAATGTCATTAAGAACATTAAATAACCAATCATCATATGGACAACAATGTCCATTACTAAATATGTGGAAGAGTACAGATCTTCAAGGATAAGTATGCAGATCTTGCAAAATGAATACAAATGAGCTGGCAGTGGAAATGAGCTATATTAACAAGCATTAAAAGTTGTGTGCCCTCATTTGTAGATATATACTATGCATATTAAACAGTCTTGTCTATTGCTTATAACAGTATACTTAAAGCAAAATAAAAGTTTATATTGTTACAAATTCAAAATATCAAAAGATTAACAAAAGTCCATAGCCTTCAGTTACTTGGGTATAAAATAACAACAGTATAGTATCACCAAACTAGATGAAATGTGCCCATCCTGGGGTATAAATTCAGGATAACTTTACTGTTTCAGGTGAAACTGTCAACCCTGCCAATCCAATACAACATGTGAAAAGACTTTTGTCTCAGCAACATATGGACACTCTTCTACCATAGCTCCCCATCTTTCTCTTTTGATGGCACTTCAATGACCCGTGGTTTGTCAATAATGCGAGCTGTGCGATTACCTTTTTCTACAATACCAATAATCCATGCTTGATAGCCTTCCTGTTTTTCAATGTCTTTGCAATATGCAGCAGCCTGTTCACGTGGTAAGCAGATCAAAAGACCACCCGAGGTTTCAGCACTCAGCCCCTGAAAGAAAAAAAAAAAAAAAAAGATTAACACTGATGGAAATGCTGCATGATGCATTATTTCCTATTGTATACTGAACAAATGGAAAATTTTCCTGAAAAAAAAAAAAAAATACCTTGTTATATCTCATTTTGGAATACTTCAGTAAATGTCAATGAGGGACTAATGTCCTATTAAGAACATTTTAAATGTTTAAATATTCAGCTATTCTCTAAACATTATTTCTCAAAGTAAATAAAATGTTTTATTAATAAAAGATAAAACATGGGAATTTACTTAAAATAAAATGGTTTAGTAGATAAGCAATACCCATGACAGCACCCTTAGTTTCCTTACTCAAATTTACCTATCCACCATTTGTCAAAATTCAACAAAATTCTTTCTAAGAAAATACCTTTACTTTTACAAACAAAAAACCCGCACAAACTTATGACGACATTTCAGTCTAACTTGGAATGTTAACTTTTATCCCCTTCAATAAATAAAAAGAAAGAAACAAAACCACGACCTCTCAAACAATAAATGAATACAGTAGTTAATTAAAATGCACATAATTTTTTGCATATTTTTGACCTAAAGATTCGTACCTGCAACAGATGGAACATGTTACCACATGCTTTAGCAACAGCAGCCATCTTTGCTATAATTGGGAGATTGTGGATAACAAATGAGACTTCATTCTTCTGGTTCTTAGCCAAGTTCTGTGCATGACCCAGTAGACCAAACCCAGTTACATCTGTAGCACCATGAGCGTTGTATTTGTGCATTAACCTAGCAGCTGAAATGGAAATAATTGTGAGGAAATTTTTTATTACAGCTTGCCAAATAATCAAATCTAGCAGTGATACTTACAAGGTTTCTAATATCTGTTTAGTAGCAAAGAAACAATCTAATTTAAGTACAAAAACATTTCAATATCATTAATTTTGTTTTACTGATGAAGTCTATCTTAAAAGAGTAATAATTCAAATACAGTAGGGCCCCACTTATACAGCAGGTTAGGTTCCAGGCTATCGCCGGAAAGCAAAACGCCATTTTTTTCCCATTTATAAATGCCAGACAAGAAGTTTACATTAACTTATATTAAGTTAGTAATAGAACTAGGCATTAAAAAATGCAATAAAAAGTAAAATATATACACAGTACATTCATTATTTATCTTAAAATATTTGTAGTCTTAATGTAGGGCAAGAGGTGAGTAGTACTTATTCGTAGGAAGTCAGGTGTAGGTAACCCTGGCTCCATCCCGAACTTAACCCTTTGACTGTTTCAGGCCCCTTTCTGAAACTGTCATTCTATGTCGCTAAATTTTTGAAAAAAAAAAAAAAAAAAAAAAAAAAAAAAAAAAAAAAATTCTTATGAAATGATAGAGAATCTTTTCCCGATGGTAATGACACCAAAAGTTCGAAATTTGGTCGAAAACTCATGGAATTACGCTCCCGCAAAGTTAGCGGTCTCGGCGACATATGCATATAGGCGATTTCGCCGACTTTGAGCCCTATTTTCAGCCAATTCCGTTGTTCCAGTTGACCAAACTCGTAGCTATTTCTTTAGAACTCCATATTATCTATCAGCTGAATACAAGAAACCTCCCATTTATCAATTTGGACTACCCAATATTGTGGTCAGAAATTGGCAATTTGGCCAATTTCACGCAAACTAAAAAAGATGCCAATTTCAAAATAGGGTCCAGAATAAACAAGGTAGACATTCTTGGCACTAAAATAACATATCCTCTGTTCACTAGTCACATCTCTAGGCCCCTCTTATATTATTATTGCTTTCTATTTTGATTTTTTATTCATACAAAAAAATACAAAATTTACTGTTATGCAGACTGGTGCATTATTGTAAAAATGGTATAAATAATATCAGTGCACTAGTGAAAAAATATTAGACTCCCCAGTTGACGTGTATTGGACGTGTGGTGTGATTTGTTTACTCCTGAACATTGGTAAAAATCAAACATTTCCGCTACTTTGAGCTCAGTTTCGAGGTCATTTTCATCGTCAAAGTAATGAAAATCATCTCTATTTCTGTAATATGTTTTCCATTTTATCACCTAAGACCATGAAAACGCAAATACATCGATAAATACTATACGAAAATACACCTCAAAGTCGGCGTTTTAATCCAAAAAAACGATCAGTTTTTTTTTTCTCATTACGCACTGTGCTGCAGGATTTTTTTTTTATGTGGTGCACACTGACCACACAGACCCATTCTCTCACATGTGGGCCTACCAGCTTTCTTCCGCTTGATTTAAAGCCGCTAGAATTATTGAGTATATATACGTCTGAAACACTGGCTCGTAAGACGTATATATACGACCAAAACAGTCAAAGGGTTAATATACGATATTTAAAGCAGCCCTGAGATAAAATATACAGTACATTCATTATTTACCTTAAAATATGTGTAGTCTTAATGTTGGATGACAGGCGAGTAGTATTTATTTGTAAGAAGTCTGCGGCCCAGAGCCATATTATCATCGACATGCCTTGTTCACTGAATTTAACTGTTTCTAACAACTACCTTTAGATGCCATCATAAATGAAGGGAGAAGTAATGAATAATTCATGCCGAGAATTGTAAACAAAAGCGGAGTGACCAAGCAGATTCACACACGTTTTCTTTGGTGCTGGACCAGAGAAAACGTAATGTTTTCCCTCTGCCCGGCATATAAACATAGCACGTTTAGATGCTATTTAAGGTGTTTCTTATAAATTCTGAAGAAAATATCATAGATGGATTAATGAAGGTGTCTACATTGACATAAAATAAGACATTTAATGTGCCCAAGAGTGATTATTATCATGTACTATTAGTATTACTATGGCGTTAAGACAAGAGGGACACTTGGTGATTTTAATGTGTACCTGCACACCAGCAGTGTATAAGTATATTTAGGTACAGGTACACAAGTATTATTATCAATATGCAATAACTTTAAAACACTTGAAATTTTGGAAAGTTTCCAGACATACTAGACATGCTCACGGAGAATGTAAACAAACCTGGTGGCGTGCACCGTATTAGAAAGACAGGATGCTGTATAGTGAATTTTGGTCATAATTTGAAATCGCCATATTAGCAGAACGCCGTAAAGCGGGGCCCTACCATATAGTAATATAAAGGCATTAATTCACGTGCAAGCAATGCTGTCAATGTCATGAATTTAACTTGTAATGGCCTGCAATAACTAGTGTTGACAGGAAGTTGCATTTGCATTAAAAGTTGACATCTAGAACAGATACTGCATGGGTAACCTAAGTTCAAGATGCTACAGATCAAAGCAAATATGCTCAATCATTGAGATTAAATAAATGCCTATCATACCAGTTCTATTAAGGCGAGCCATCGAATCCATAGCCCTCTGGTAAGCTTTGCGGACATCTTCTTCAGACACCACTAACTTGATGCGGTTCCACCTCTCTGGCTGGTCCAACCATTGATGTGCATTAACAGCCACTTGGGTTCCAAGAGGTTTGGTTAGCACCAAGACATCACCAACTACAGCACAATCTGGCCTGAGAAGACAAGAAATGTTTTAAATCAATGTTTTGTTATGCAACAATTGTTCCCCAATTTTGCAAAAAAAATTCCAACTGCACAAAGTACTATAGATAATATAAAAATAGGCCATTTTAATAGGCTTTGCACATTTAAGCATGTATGTTTTTCCACTTTCTACCACCTAATTCAAAATATCAAGGGATACAAGTTGCAGTATGAGGGAAAACAAACCATAAATAATGCTTACTATGCATTTCTTGGCTTTCTAGGTAAATAATTTTTTTTTTTATATTTTAACCCTATCACTGTCGAGACCCCTGCTCACAGACTTGCTCTCAGTGTCGACTAAAAAAAAAAAAAAATTTCTATGAAATGATAGAGAATCTTTTCTCAATGGTAATGATACCAAAAGTATGAAATTTGATGGAAAACTCATGGAATTACGCTCTTGCGAAGTTAGCGGTCTCAGCGATATTGACGCATCTGCAATTTTGCCCAATTTGAACCCTATTTTCAGCCAATTCCATTGTTCCAGTTGACCAAGCTCATAGCTAGTTTGCTAGAACACCTTTTATTCTGTCAACTGTGTACAAGAAACTGCCCATTTACTGATTTCAAATACCCAATAAAGTGATCAGAAATTGGTAATTTGGCCAATTTCATACATAATTCAAGGAAGGCCAATTTCAAAATAGGGTCAAGAATTAACAATGCAAACATTCCTAGCACTAAAATAACATTCTCTGTTCATTAGTCACATCTCCAGGCCCCTCTTATATTGCTCTTACTTTCCATTCTGAATTTTTATTCACAAAAAATAGAAGATTTACTGTTATGCAGACTACTGCATTATTGCAAAGATTGTATAAATAATATTAACACATTTGTGAAAGAATATTAGATCCACCAGTTGACGTGTATTGGATGCGTGATGTGATCTGTTTACTCTTGAACATTGGCAAAAATCGAACACTTCCACTACTTTGAGCTCAATTTCAAGGTACTTTTAGTTCGTAGACCATTCAAAATCATCTCTAGTTCTGTAATATACCTTCCATTTTATCAACCGAGACCAAAAAAAAAACAAGAATACAACCATAAATACCAAACAAAAACACACTGCAAATTCGGTTTTAAACAAAAAACACGGTCAGTTTTTTTTTTCTCATTATGCACTGCATGCTGCAGGATTTTTTTTTATATTGTGCACACTGACCACTCAGACCCATTCTTTCAAATGTAGGCCTATCAGATTTTTCCCGCAAGATTGGAAGCCACTAGAATTTTCGTGTACTATTATGGGACTGACACAGGCTTCGAAGCCATAATATTATGGGATTGACAGTGAATCCCCCATTCCCCACTATTCCTATTGGATTGCCAAACCAAAATTCTCAGGACTTTTTTTTTTTTTTTTGTCCATTGCCAACTGACAAGGAGACACCACAAACTAACTCATTTTTATGCCTGTAAGTCCAGTCTATCTTATTTATATGGCTTTAATTCTTTGCTAAACTAGAAAATGAAGATCAGGTACATTCCACTGTCCCAATAGCTTTTCACTCAAAACTAGAATTTAGAGGGAAGTTTGTCACTAAACCTAAATTCTATATGCAAAGTTTAATATGACCAACTTAAAAATTATGGTTGAATAAAAATAAATAGCTTCCAGATACTACATTTAGCTTACACAATAAATTCGTTGGGCTGACAGACAGTAGTAGCAACACCTCCAATTGTACACCAAGGATTCATCACAGTCTGACCTCCTGTTACTGAAGTGTTTGCTTCTAAAGCAGCATCCTGATAAGCAAGAATTGTATTATTAGTAAGGAGAATAGTAGGAACGTAAAAAACAGCGACTGCTGAGGAATAAGGCACACACTACTCCAACTGCTGGTAAGCCAATTAGCTTGGTCACTAGTTTTCACTTAATCTGTATGAACAAACAGCAACCAAAATAATATAGCTAAAATTAGCTGACCCTCTCTTTTTATTAAGGTGGCTGTCTCCCACCAGAGCATGGGAGGAAAAAATATTCACCATCATTCATTATTGTCGTGCCAGACGTATGCCAACTTCACATTTAGATGGTTTTCCAAACTGCAACACCCCTTACCCCTTCTTCAGAGTGTAGGCACTGTACTTCCCACCTCCATTACTTAAATCCGGCTAGCCAGCTTCCCCTGAATCCCTTCATAAATGTTACCTTGCTCACACCCCACAGCACATCAGGTCACAAAAGCTACTTGCCTACACTTGCTCTGATTTAATGAGCTCACACAAGCCTTTTGGAAGTTCACATTCCTAACACTCAAAACTTTTACTCCCTCCTTCCAACCCTTCCTGGGACGACTCCTTAATTCCACCATTTATTTATATCTCCTCCTAGTCATCCTATTTTGCTCCATCTCAAGTGCCCAAACCACCTCAACTCTTCAACCGTTTAATTATATTTTTGGTAACCCCATTAACAAATATGCATTTAGAAAATCCAGTTTTATTCTCCAGAAGTTTTTGTTTCTACAAATTAAAATTTTACATAGATTTGACTCAACACTCAGCTGCGGTGTGGTCATAGACTGGGCTGCGGGGGTGTTGACCCCTGAAACCCCCTCCAGGTATACTCAAGATCATGGGTATGACAAACTACAATAGAAAATAATAACTTATGGAATAAAATACAATAGAATATAACTTCATACGGAGTTTAGACTATTTTTAAGGTTACAATTTTTTGGTTTCTTCTAATAATTCCAGATTTTGGGCTCCTTTATTTGCATGCCATTCTACATAGCTAAAATGCTTATTGTGCATGCTAATGACTATAAGAAGACATACACAAAGGGTTTGAAAATAACATTAAGCAGATACTAATACAAATGCAAGCATTGCTTGACCTTTACATATATCAGCAAAACTAGAGCATTCACTAATAATTGAAAAGAAAGTAGAATTACTAAGAAAATTTGAAGGCTGAGTAAATATTCTCAGCTCGTGATAAAATGTAATGGTAGACGACAGGATTAATCGTGCCGTTAGTCAACCCCTTCTTAACAAGCACCTGCAGAACATAGTTTTGAATAAACAAAGATGATGCCAGACACCCCATCCATCCTCTGCTTAACGATCAATTTCCACTCATACACCGTCACGCCAGGAGACCTTCAGCAATAAACGAACATGCTGTGTAGCAGCATACTCGCCAAGAGCAGTAGACTGATTTTTAAGCCTTTTAAATCTAAGATAACATGAGCACTAAATGACCAAATAGTAGGAATGGCATGATGCAAATGTTAATACATAAAATACACCACCTCTAGACACCACCACCACCTCTAGACATTTGCCTTTTTTTTTTTTTTTTTTTTTTTAGCAAACTGATGCTAATGGTATGGCATGTGATACTGCAAAACATTTTAGCCAGGCCATGTTGGTATGCACCATCTTGAATAAATTTCAGCCAGTTACAGAGAGTGCTGGCCATGCATATCTTATTGCTGCTGGTAGTTACAGACAGAACAAGTTGTTGAAAGATATGGAGATGCAACTCAGTGTGGATTGAGGACCAGACTCAAAAAACATGCCACTGAATTCACTGATTTTTGAAGATTAAAAAAAAGTGAGGCTGCATAAGACAATCACTTTCAATACTTGTAAAGGATGGACCGACAGGTTTAAGATGTATGGTAACTTGCATAACTTGATATTGAGTAGTGAGGCTGTTACTGCTGATCTTGAAGCTGCTGCCTCATACTTGATATCATGAAGAAAATTATTGAGGGAGTTACATCCCTCAGCAAGTTTTCAATGTAGATGAAACAGCTGCACAAGAAGTGAATGCCATCGAAAGCCTTTATAGAGATGAGTAGGGTCCAGGGCACAAGGGCATTGACCTCTAGAACACCCTCCAGGTATACTCTTACCTCAGAGTGCAGGCACTGTACTTGGAACCTCCAGGACACAAGTCCAGTTAACCAGTCTGTAATATACATGATGTAATCAAGCCTTACCTTGAAGCCTCTCATCATAAGAGGAATAACAACGTCTCTTTCTTTTTCCGTCATCTTGGTTGAGACTCCTAGTAACATAAGCATATTGTCACAGTCTGTCACGCCCATAGCAAACAGGTCACTTAACACATTAGCACAGGAAATTTTACCTGCAAAAACATCAAATGCATCATTACTACTAAAAATATACAATACATAAAACAGTTTTAGAAAAAAAAGAAAAACAGTTTTCACATTTATATGAACTACTATATTTCATTTTCCTGTACAGTGTAAACTAATTTTCTAGACATTATGACACCCAAGAGGAATACTGATCTTTATCTTAATTGTTTATTACACTAGCCAATAAAATTTTGCTTTTCATCCAGTTCAGAAACCAAACTATTGTTTTAAGCTAAATTTGATATACCAATCACAAATCACAGTTTGTTTAATCTATCACAGTTTTTAAAAATCTGGTCATCAATATTTTGGCTATTTAAGGCTGAATAACCACATAACATATGTTACCTAACACTCACAGGAATGATATTATGCATAGATAACAGGCATGTTGCATGCAATGACAAAAGCCAATTTTTCTCAATGTAAAATTTGTTGTATGTACGTATGTACATTTGTGTGAGAGTGCACGAGAGTGCAAAAAAAAAGTCCATTGTCAAACATTTACAGTAAAATTTTCATTTTTTTTTTTTGCTCGTGTTCATCAGTACTGCTCCCATATCAGAGTATCCAACAGAAATTCCCATTAAATTGATTGTCAGATTTCCCTGATATCTCTTCCCCATGATGGCTATCTTGGTGAAGCTGTTCACTGTGGGGTTCTGTTTCAAAGAAACTAAACATGCTGGAGCAAAACTAAGTTCAGAACTGAATTCAGCATCACAAAATTAGTTAGAAACACTTTTTAAATGTGAAGTGAAACCTTTGTTAGCCAATGTTATAGAGGGGCACACTATACCAATTACTGATAGGCAACAGAAAAAGTATCAAATTAGTACACAATGTTAAGCCCCGAGATTGAATGGCATGTTAAAAATGCATATTGTCTAGAGTATACAGTGGTACCTTGGGATACAAACTCTTTGTTCCAGAAGGCTGTTCGAGTGCTGATACCGAATGAATTTGTTCCCGTAAGAAATAATGTAAATTAGATTAGTCGGTTTCAGACCCCCCAAAAATACACTTACAAAAGCACTTACATAAATACACTGACATAACTGTTCAAGTTTTGAGCTGTTTGTAACCTGAGGTACCACTGTATATCATCATTTGTCAAGAAGCATGAAAACAAATAAGATGATATGACACCTGAAGTGGAAGGATATGTGATACAGTGGAACCTCTGTCTGAGTGTACAGGACCTCAAACAAACTGGAGTACAAACAATTTTGTTCAGAAAAAACTGACCCAGTTTTTGAATGTTTTTCTAGAGTACAAACATGGTGATTTGTTTAAAATTTAGTTGTAAAAAACTTGACACGAAAGCGGTTTCAAAAGTGCTCTGAAGTGACCTGCGACACCGACCTAACTCTAAGGCTTTGGGAAGAGTCAGTTCAACATCCTCCAGTGTGTGCAGCTGATAATTAAAACCTGGGAAATACTGTTTTGAACATCAATCTTTTCACAGTTCTAACACCACATTGGTGGTGTTCAAACCTAGGATCCAATTTAGTTCAAACACAAGGTTCCATGGTATTTCTATAAATTAAAATGCATTACCCCCATCACTACAATATATTAAATATCCACCTAATAGTACAGAAGGGCCCGGCTTATAAAGACTAGGTTCCAGGCTACCACTGTAAGGTGAAACGGCCTTTTATCACATTGAAATTCATATGAAAGCCTGATGACATGTTTACACTATCATATATAATAAGTGAGCATTAGAGCTAGGCCTAAAAAATGCATATACAGTACACACATTAATTACCTTAGAATATTTTCATCCTTAGCTTATAGTGAGTGATAAATATATTTATTGTAGGAAGTCTGGATAAAAGAAGAATGGGTATAACAAAAAACTGTTGCATTAGTTTAATACTGGAAAGCGAGGCCCTCCTGTAATTTACAGTACTCACTACTTAAGAGTAACTTGAAAGATGACAAATATATTCCAGCAATGTATAAAATTAACTACACTTACCCATCATATAAGGATCATCAACTAAAGGATAGAAAAAGTCAGTTGTCTGGACGAGGGACAGACCACCATGACGAAGGGGAGTAACACTGGCATCCATTCCAATTCCTACAACAATAAAACTGCTGTACATTACCCTATATATTATATATTTTTCAAAATATGAATGAAATAACACATCTCCACCTATATTAACCCTTAAACTGTCCAAACGTAGATCTACGTTTTTTCAACATTTGAATGTAAAAAAAGTAATCTTCTTTTCTTTTTTTAAATTTGAAAAAGTGTAAAAAAAAACTTTGATCTATTTTTTTTGTTATATTTGAATGTAAAAAAAAAAAAAACCAGTTCTACTTTTGGAGCACTACGCATGTGAACGTAGATCTGCTTGGACAGTTTAAGGGTTAGCATACAAGTTTGTGGATAATTAAGTATAGTATACTATACTTTAAAGAATACTGCATGTAAATCTACTACATAACATATACATTGTATATGATTTAATCTGAAGTGTTATTGGGGCTGATAACAATAAAAGAAAGATATCTTTAAAGGTCTTTACCAGTAAACAGTATTATTATCTAAATTACAATTATAAATAAAAGCAGTGGTTTAAGAGGAAAACCCACAAAATGCATTTAATATTTCCCAGTGGAATTTCAAATATGTGGGATCAATTTTACTATCCTTCTGTGTGTGTGTGTTTTCCAGTGCATTTATGTCCATTCTGTAATAAGACCAGAAGTGAGCAGCATAATCTGAGGCATTGTCAAGGATTTAATATATATAAATGTAATTGCTAATACAATCAAAACTAAGCATTAAACCCACAAGGGTCACAAGGTTATATAAAGTTTAAATATACATTGAGGTCTCATATTATTAATACTTCTTGAAAGGAGTAATTCTATTAGCTTTAATACAAACACTAATGCACTGTTCTCTTGGTTTTAAACTACTGCTAACTAGAACACCTAATTAGAACCTTACATTAGTCCACACTCAACTGCATCATCTGTCACTTCTGACCACACCATCAAACTATCCTGAGCGTCCTGTAGTACGCAAATAACTAGCGCTTACGAAGATCAAACTTGTGTATTATTATTGTGCCCCATTATTCGTTCTATCACCCTGCAGTGCCCTCAGAATTTGACAGCCTAGTTTTACTCGAGGTCTTCTTCAGAACTCTTACTTAGTGATAGCTAAAGTACAGTAAGATAGTATACAAGGAAAATGGAATTAGTGGGGTAAAATGGCATGGGTCAGTGGATTAATTATAGATGGTGAGAGGCATAAGCAAGCAGAGTAAACTTCTGGTAGAGTGATAAAAGTGATGAAGAGGGTAACAAGGTGCTAAGCGGATTAAAAAATGCATTCTGTGTATTGCAGAAGTTTGTAAATCTAAGAGGGTGGGAGTAAAACAACAACTAGTGGAATGATGCATATTATTATTATAATGGGGGGGGGGGTGCTAAATCTGTAGGATTACAGCGCATGTGGGGGTGGAAGTTATTCAGGCTGAATTTAGGGAACTGGAGCACAGATCCAATTCCCTAGATCAAGGACTGCCTGGTGCTGCCCTTGAGAAACATTAGAACAATAACAAGTTTATTTTAGCATGATGCATGTTTGTACAAAGGGGGTTAACAATTTGAACATGCCAAAAGCCCCTTTATATGTAGAGCATTTTGGGCTAACTTAAGACTCTTAAGATTATAAGGCAATAACAGTTAAGTAATTTTTCATATGGTCATTATGTGAGTTACATTGAATACAAGAAAATTGAATATTTAACTAGTTCATGCTATATGGCTTTAGTAAGTTCAGGAGAGAATAATTACAGTTTTGATCTAGTTTATAAAAAATACAGTATTACAATTTAGCACAATTTAAAACAATGCTTATTGGCCCCCAGAGAGTGAGAAGAGTCTGATGACCACCCAGGAGACAGGCACTAATTATTTGTCTCACTCTGGGGGTTCCCAAAGTTAGAAAAGTGCCTGGTAGACCAAGTGAGACAAGTGCCGGGTAGACCAAGTGAGACAAGTGCCTGGTAGACCAAGTGCCTGGTAGACCAAGTTAGACATGTGCCAGGTAGACCAAGTTAGACAAGTGCCTGGTAGACCAAGTTAGACAAGTGCCAGGTAGACCAAGTTAGACAAGTGCCAGGTAGACCAAGTGAGACAAGTGCCGGGTAGACCAAGTGAGACAAGTGCCGGGTAGACCAAGTGAGACAAGTGCCTGGTAGACCAAGTTAGACGTGCCAGGTAGACCAAGTTAGACAAGTGCCGGGTAGACCAAGTTAGACAAGTGCCGGGTAGACCAAGTTAGACAAGTGCCTGGCAGCAGCTGCCACGAGGCTGCAACACGTGTCTGGTGGACCTCAAACATATCTGGCAGTTTAGTAAGAACATACTCCTCCAACCTAACTAAATCCACCAACCTAACTTCCTGAAACCCATAAATATACAAACAAGAATGAAAAAATGCATACACATAAATGCTCATGGGAGATAGATATTTAAAGTTTGGCGGGCTGGAGGTGTGAGGTGAAGTATGGTGTCAGACTCACCAATATGTGTGATGGGCATGTGCATGAAGTGTGTGGTATGGTCGTGCTCGTGCCCCGTCCCATCATCTTGCAGTCCCTCCAGTAGGCGTGTTAGCACCTCCTGGGGGACCTTGCACCCTCATCCTTTCAGGTCCGCGAATCGTGTCAGTCTGAAGTTGGCGTCCAATTCGTGGGCTACAGGATTGAAAGGTCGTCGAATGGTGAGGGTCTGCGGCGTTCCCCCTAACTCGAGCTGTGCTGCCGCTGCCAGGGCTTCCTGCGGCACTTGTGGTGGCTCAATGTATACCTCCATCACCCTCGCACTACAGCTCCTTCAGTAGTTGAGCGAATCTCACTCCTGGAGACGAGCCGGTATCCCTGCAGCTTCTCCGACACCCTCAAAATGGCGACTCCCCGACCACTGGATTCCTCGAGAACCCGGATGATGCGCACCTCAATGGCAGCCGCTGATTGGTTAACTATGTGTGTGATGTCACCAAAAGTGGCTGCTCATTGGGTGTCTGGGTCTTTGACATCACGGCAGGGCTCTGTGACGTCACAGTGGGGAGCGGCTCGTGTTGGTCCGGGGAGCGGGGAGCACACCCGCCGCTGCAGGGATGGGGAAGCCAGACCTTCATACATCATCACTAATACTCTCATATACCTCAATATAATTACTGTCATGAATAATTTATACCCTGGTCATGGAGGCTGTTTATTAATGCACATCTGTGATGACCTTACATGTATAACTTCTCGTTTTTAAGCGCATATACCAGCTAAATGTTCAGCAGGTGCCATAACATCGCCCCCCTTCTTTATAACATATGGAGCGATAAAACATCTCTTTACGTATATAATATTGGATACCTGTCACTTTATTTAAATAACAAAGATGGTCGCATGTGACTACCTAACAGAAGTAGTTAGGGATCAGTCCTGAACAAAATACACTCAGTCAGCAAGTTTAACAGAGTTTATTTGAAGTAAAAATTACCTTATTTTTTCCCATAAGATGCCTTGATAGCCTTGAAGGGCTCTAGAGTAAAGGAATTAGAGGTATTTTTTCTTTCTTTGGATCAAGACTCATTACCTGTTATTCCCCTGACACTATAACCCATACGAGTTTAGGGCTGCATAATGAATATAATAACTGCAAATGATTTAACTAGCTTGCTTCATCATAATGTAATTAAATTTAGTGATAAATACATTCAAAACGCTCTAGCTTATTTCCATTTACTCTATAGGTTATTTTTTTTTGTATATAGATAGTCAATATATATTTTGTAATGACTAATTACATGCAAAAAAACAACATCGCATTATTTTATACGTTTAAAGTTACCTCTTATGGGTGTCATACATAAACAAAATCAAAGAATTGCTTAAATCAAAACAAGTTTGCGAAAGTTTGTTCATTTTGCTGGAGATGAGATTTATTAAAGATTCATAAATTAGCGCCAGCAGCCCTGAGCGCCAGCGTTCCTGTTGTCATGGTTACGACTTCTCTTATTTCTTTACTTCGTCACGAGAATGTCGAAGTGCATTTTGAAATACAATATTTGAAATGCTTCTGGTTAGAGATAAAGACGCTAAAGTGATACACACATATAGAGATATCACGTTATTAGGAAATGGTGGCATATATTTTAGACAATGTTGAGATTTAGTTGAAGTGTAAGTCAGAGTTAATGGGAAGGTTGAGAGACAATGTTTACGGTAGTGATGTGAAAGAGCGCGTTGTTAGGAGTGACTTGAGGAGCAGGCGCAGCACTGGCACTCTCACACTCTTACTGAGGGCCACTGTTCCTCTGGCACTCACTCACGCCATTACTACCACCTCTCCTGCTGCGCTCCATACATACACCGCCCGAACAGGGCCACTTTGCTCATAAGTAAGTCTTGTTAGTTTAAGAAAAAGCGGTAAAACACGTGGACACTTGGGAACATACACTGGAGATTTAAACTCACTCAGAAAGTTATGTCTATAAAATAGTTAACTTGTTGTGAGGCGCAGTCAGGTGATTGTTTTATATTTTAGTCGATATCATTTATTACAAATATTGTCATGGAAACACGTTAAAGATTGTTACAACTTGTGTATAGCCAGTACATGTATAGCGAAGATATAAATTACTATTTTGCTAGAATAACTTCAAGAAAACCTTTATAATAAGGAGCTGTGCAACGTAAGACAGGATCTCTATTCTTGATATCTCCCTTCATTCTGATGAAGGGCTCTTGATCTAAGAAATTGGAGCTACTCTATCCTTAGAAGAAACTTCACAGTTAATATTCCTCAACATGTCTCTATTACAACTTTTATGTTTTAGTTATACCTGTACCAAGTTTTTTCGAGGGTAATTCAGTTTTTCACATCCAACTAGACTTATAAGTTTGTTGATGGACAGTATCGCCAACATTACATTGGTAAATCCATTGTATATAACTTCTTTACTATTAATAGGCCACAGTAAGCAAAATTTATACAGCCATTCTATGGTACCTAAAAAGAAAAAATAGTTACATTAGTATTTTTGTTCAGGTATTCTGTATATGAGGTACACACTAACACATTTTCTTATGCAGAAAGCATGATTTGTTGAAAAGTTATTTCAGCGTTGATATTCTGGTGTGAGGGGGAGTTACAAAAATATTTTCCCTAGGCCTATCATTGCTAAAGGAATCCCTACCCACTGCACATGAAAAAATAAATGGGAGTTGTTGAAGAAACTTGTATTGTGCGTGTTTTCTCCATATGTATGATTCAGTATGATTCAGTGTAATAAAACTTTGTGCGTGAATTAACATACACTTTATCTAAACTGAATTAACATCTATACACGTTGTCTAAACTGTAAATTAACATTATACACTTTGTCTAAACTGAATTAACACATACACTTTGTCTAAACTGTGAATTAATATTTATACACTTAGTCTAAACTGTGGATTAACATTTATATACTTTGTCTAAACTGTATTGATCTTTAACAATGCTATTCACTTAGCTTTTTATTAGTCACACATGCTAAGAGCTGTATTGTCCTTCTGAAAATGCTATTTAATTGAACAATTTTCATAGGGAGGCCCAATTCCCTAGGGACATTAAGAACCTACGGAATGTGGGGGGAATGCAATCAGGTTTGATCCAAGAAAAAATAGGGTAGCTCCAGTTCCTTGGATCAAGATAATTATTAACAATGAATACCTCCCCCACTCCCTTAAAGGGTTAAATTTTATATAATTCCTTTAATATTTTGGTTAATATGAATTATATTGTAGTAACCTAATATGTTAACGGAATGAACTAATAGTGTAATCGATCAGTGACTTAGAGGCCTTATTTTAAGATACAAGAAATTATTGGGACATTTTTGAGACAACGAGAATATAAAATGATAAAACAAGGATTTTTTTTAATAAAGAATATATTAAATAACAAAATAACAAAAAAAAGGCACAATACCGTGACTGGAACGATACACAAATAACCCGCACATAGAAGAGAGGAGCTGACGACGACGTTTCGGTCCGGAACGTCGTCGTAAGTTCCTCTCTTCTATGTGCGGGTTATTTGTGTAAGAATATGTTAAACTTGGTGTTTTGTTGCCTGTGAGTTTTGCAACTAGTTTGAGGTGCAAAATACACGTACCTGCTTGCTTGCAATATAAAGATATTAATTGGTGTCTTCAGATAGCTTTGCAACTCTCGGCAGTGTTCACTATCTTGCTATTTAAGATACGAAACAGATGTGGCTGTTATCAAGACAAAGATAAGGCAGTATGTGACGATGGGTTGACAAGGAGACACCATGTGTATTGTACTGTTTTGAAAGGTATTTAAGCATTTCTTTTAGGATTTTAACGATCTTTTGTATGGGTGAATGCCTATTTGCTCGAATTTATGTGGCTATTACCTGGAGTTTACCTGGAGAGAGTTTCGGGGGTCAACGCCCCCGCGGCCCGGTCTGTGACCAGGCCTCCTGGTGGATCAGCGCCTGATCAACCAGGCTGTTGCTGCTGGCTGCACGCAAACCAACGTACGAGCCACAGCCCGGCTGATCAGGAACTGCCTTTAGGTGCTTGTCCAGTGCCAGCTTGAAGACTGCCAGGGGTCTGTTGGTAATCCCCCTTATGTGTGCTGGGAGGCAGTTGAACAGTCTCGGTCCCCTGACACTTATTGTATGGTCTCTTAACGTGCTAGTGACACCCCTGCTTTTCATTGGGGGGATGGTGCATCGTCTGCCAAGTCTTTTGCTTTCGTAGTGAGTGATTTTCGTGTGCAAGTTCGGTACTAGTCCCTCTAGGATTTTCCAGGTGTATATAATCATGTATCTCTCCCTCCTGCGTTCCAGGGAATACAGGTTTAGAAACCTCAAGCGCTCCCAGTAATTGAGGTGTTTTATCTCCGTTATGCGCGCCGTGAAAGTTCTCTGTACATTTTCTAGGTCGGCAATTTCACCTGCCTTGAAAGGTGCTGTTAGAGTGCAGCAATATTCCAGCCTAGATAGAACAAGTGACCTGAAGAGTGTCATCATGGGCTTGGCCTCCCTAGTTTTGAAGGTTCTCATTATCCATCCTGTCATTTTTCTAGCAGATGCGATTGATACAATGTTATGGTCCTTGAAGGTGAGATCCTCCGACATAATCACTCCCAGGTCTTTGGCTATAGATTATGTTGGTGCGTAATATACTTAATTAACAGCGTCTTATTGACTAGCAGCAATGGGATTTGTTTGTCAGTATTGTTCATGTTTTCTTCTGCAAAGACAGCCATTCAAGGTTATCACGATGCTAGTAAAGGACTCTTGGTCCAAGGAATTAGAGCTGTCTTTCCTCTCTTTAGGATCAAACCGGATTTTCTCCCATTCTCCGGGTGATATATGATCATTATGGGTTTGGCGCTTCCCCGTGACTAAAATATTTATATTGCTGTAAAATATTTATACATTTACTCTTGATAAATTTATTGAATGTATAAATATGAAATATGAACTTGTCAGTTTGTCATATTGGAATATTGTAAAAGACGAATTAACCAAACTACGAGGCTGCGGCTCTGGCATCATGAAGGCTTTCATTTTTTGGTTCAGCCCGTCATACATATCCCAACCAGTTCTTAAGGCTGTCACCATTAAACTTAATTGAAGTAAGTTTATTCAGGTATACACAAATACAATCACATAGATGATCATATATAGCAGCGTATGTGTAGAAAACCTAGGATAACCCAAAAAAGTCAGTGACTTATTTCCATTGGGGTTCTTTGAACTGGAGTCTAGCTCAAAATTGTCGGGGAAAAGATATAGTTCATGCTGGATTGACCGTGTAATTGATTATTCTGGCAAATCTACTTTTTAAATTAATCTTTGGGAGGAAGCACTTTATCCAGGAGGATAGACGGAGTACTAGAGCCAAATGCCACAGTAGAAACCAAACAAGAATACAAGTCAAAATGATGGATGTACTGAAACAATATCCGCTTAATTCACAATATCCTTGTCACAGGTTGTAATAATATGTTTAATATTTTCAAAAATATGTATCCACGTGTAGAACTGCTTTCATCCTACTGATAAACGAGACTTTAAGAATCTAACGTTTGACACGTGCACTATATCCTAACATGATCTAGAAATCTGTTGGACTTATAACCCATCGAAGAGGTGCCTTCATTCTGAGGAACTTCTTTTGATCAAGGGAATTTTAGTTACCCTCTTGGATAAAACCTGCATACCTTCCATTCCAAGGCGTTCTATGACCATACGGGTTTAGGGTTTCCCTATGAATATAATAATACGAGCCACCTGTAATGATATCATTTACATATAACCGGCTACACTGGGTTCCGAAAGGTTCATCCTTGAGGCAAACGCCTTGACATAGTAAAGAGAACTTAAAACACTATCAATCAGTTAATTGCTTTTCGTACTTAATCTACTGGCAAAACCAAAATGCTCTGCAAAAACTTGGGACTTTCTTTAACTAGTTTATAAATGGTAATTACTTCAATGCCAGTCGTATTTTGTGCTCCACCATATAGAGATAAAGTTTGCTTGCTTGTTTTGTTTTAGCCAAGGCTGTGTGTAGCCTTGCTCTAAAAATATGGAGACAGAGCCACCAAATAAATGAGCGCTAGTCTTTGTACCTTGTTAGGAAAACTGTAGTATTAGGAATATAGGAAAATAGGGGTTAAAATAAGCTCTTAGTATATATAAACTGATTATATACCGTTTGGTGTACATGCATTGCTGTATTTTCAATCAACGGTGGCCTTCGCCAGGCAACGGGGTTTATACATCAAGAGGTGTATTTTTGACTCGGTGTACATAGTTTGCTCCAATCCCTCTATTAGGGATTAAAGCGTCCTTGATTGGCTTGTCCTGTTTGCTGAGAAACCTTACTAACCTATCCTAACCTTGATTGGTGGTGTACAAGTGATGTATAGCCATAATGACCCTCATGCACTCTTTAAGAAACCAATCAAAACCAGTCTGGTTCATGAGTGGGGGAACGCCACGTCGGACGAATAGCTCGGCCGACCTTGTAATTTCTAAAATACTGCACGCAACCTGACCAAGCTTCAGCTGGCCTCCGGTTTTAATAGCTTCATTTTGTTAGGTTAGACGCAAGTTTTTAATGGAGAATATCCACCGTCTTTGTATTATTCACGATGAGTAACAAAACTCGTAGACGTCATACAGCTTTTGGGCAATAGATTATCACTTTAGGTTTAGGTTAGGTGAAGATTGTCGGGAAACAGGACAAGATCAGGTTAAGTTCTACGAGAGCGGAAGATCTTATACCTGGAATCAAGAGCTTTTCACCACCATCTAGGCTTGAAAGGCCCTTTATTTTTCTTACAAATCGTGATGATGTTATTTCTCGCCATAAGTCTGGCCTTTAATATTTTAATATTAGAAACATATATGCACTATTATCACGAGTAACATGAGATAAAACTTGTTTTGAAGCTGTGTGATTCTATTCATAACTAACCAATAAACGGGAAATGAAAAGTTTCCAAATCCATTCTGTGTTATTGTTTCAGCGACGATAGTGATTTTCCCTCTCTCTGTATAATTCAAAAGAGCCTATGTGTATAAACTATGTAGGGCAGCGGGCCTCCAGCAGCGATAGCCTGGTTGACCAGGCAAGCACCAGACGAGCCTGGCCCATGGCCGGGCTCAGAGGGTAGAAACTTCAAAGGTATATGAAAGGTGTAAAGTTGTAAACGAGTGTAGAGTAGTGCTGTTCAGTGGGGTGTTTTATTATTCATTTGTAAACTGTGAACCCGTTGGGGATCACGGACCGGGACACGGGGGCGTTAACTCCCGATACCCCATCCAGGTATCACCGTATCCACGTATACAACGCCTAAGGAATGGTAGACAGGAAGGTTTAATTCAAAGAAGGGAAGGGAGACTTCAATTCCTTGGATCAACAGCTCTTCACTGGCAATAAATGATCCCTACTGGGGTGTGTAAGCCTTACTTTCCAGCAACTGTAGTAATAGCACCAGTGTTAGAATGAGCTTTGTGAGGTGGCTCGACCTTCCTTTTACACAAGAGCAGCAGCTGCAACAATGTAAGATCGAAAGCAGCGGTACTGTAGTAAAAGTAGCCGTTTTTTTATAGTGAGTATCATAGCTTTCTGCAAAAAGAAAACACATCTTCGTAGCCAAGCTCTTATTGTCCCAATAAAGGCTTAGCCTGAAAGGGTATCTTTCCTCCAGCAGTGAATTTTGTGGCTTAAATGAATTTCAAGAACTAACTTCATCCTTCCTTCCCACACAGGAGCAAGAACAATCACAGCCTCCGCCGAGATGAGCAACCTGGCGAGTGAGCTGGAGCGGCCTGGCACCAACGGGTCTAACCGGCAGGCCTGGGGTGGTTTTGATGGAGCAGCACCGCCTACAGGGCCTGCTGCAGGACTAGGCCCCAACACCCCCTCTAATGACGCCTACGAGTATGAAACTAATGAAACCATCCACAAGAAGGGGTGCTGGTACTCTTTCTCCACATGCATAGGCCGTGAGTATTTCATTTCTTTTACAAAGCACCAGATGAGCATGGCCCATGGCCGGGCCCCGGGGGTGGTTTACCTGGTAGGAAAGATTTTCGGAATTCATCAAAGGTATAACCATTTAGTTAAAAAAGGTACATAGAGCAAAAGGGAGAGTTATTAGTACAACAGTTTCACCCACATGAGGCTTTACTTAATAAAACCTCATGTAGGTTCACACCTCACCTCGCCATATGTGACTATACCACTTGTCGGCTACGCCACACCTCATCCAGACTTGCATTAGTTTAGGTGTAAAGCCTATCAACTGCTTGTGGGTCATTAAGTTTGAAAGTCAACATCAAGAATACTGCGATTCTTAAAATGAGGACTAAAATAAACTATATACACTGAGATATATACACATCTCGGTGTATATACAATGTGTATACATCGCGTATACCACTTGAGAAACATTTTCGGTATATACATATATACACTGAGTTATATACATCTTGGTCTATATACAAATAAACATTTCAGCCTATGTACAGGTACACAAATGTTTGTTGTATATATATATATATAATATATATATATATATATATATATATATATTATATATATATATATATATATATATATATATATATATATATATATGCAATAAGATCACAGTAAACAGGTGATTTCAGATAGTTCCTTGATAATGTGAGTAGTCACGAAAGCGCTTGGAATTTCTCTATTCTTTCAGAGTGGTTGTTTTGCATATATATATATATATATATATATATATATATATATTATATATTATATATATATATATATATATATATATATATACACATACATCTGTCGTGCTGAATAAGTAAAACTTGCGATCTGGGCTTAAATAGCAACGCTCTTCTAGCCGAATAAGACAAGCGAAGATTTGTTTATGCAATAATTTCGCAAAAATCATGCTGAACCTAACGAAAAAAAATATTTCATTGTATTTGCTTATTATTAAATTATTTCAAAATTATCTAAAATGATTTAGTTGGATTAGGCTACATTAAATTACGCTTGTTATAATAAGGTTAGGTAAGTTCTCTAAGGTGCTTTTGGTACAAAATTATTAATTTTTACATTAACGTAAAGGAAAGAAATATATCTTTAAACGTATAAGAATTTTTTAAAGAAAGGACTTAATTTTATATGAGTTTTACCTATACGACACGATATAATATATATATATACACTATATATACGCATATATATATATATAATATATATAATATATAATATATAATATATATATATATATATATATATATATATATATATTATATATAATATAATATATATATATATATATATATAATATATAATATATTATATATATAATATATAATAATATAATATATAATATATAATATATATATATAATATATATATATATATAATAAAAGTATTAGTCAGAGGGCAGAAGAGGGGTTGTTGAGGTGGTTTGGTCATTTAGAGAGAATGGATCAAAGTAGAATGACATGGAAAGCATATAAATCTATAGGGGAAGGAAGGCGGGGTAGGGGTCGTCCTCGAAAGGGTTGGAGAGAGGGGGTAAAGGAGGTTTTGTGGGTAAGGGGCTTGGACTTCCAGCAAGCGTGCGTGAGCGTGTTAGATAGGAGTGAATGGAGACGAATGGTACTTGGGACCTGACGATCTGTTGGAGTGTGAGCAGGGTAATATTTAGTGAAGGGATTCAGGGAAACCGGTTATTTTCATATAGTCGGACTTGAGTCCTGGAAAGGGAAGTACAATGCCTGCACTTTAAAGGAGGGGTTTGGGATATTGGCAGTTTGGAGGGATATGTTGTGTATCTTTATATGTGTATGCTTCTAGACTGTTGTATTCTGAGCACCTCTGCAAAAACAGTGATAATGTGCGAGTGTGGTGAAAGTGTTGAATGATGATGAAAGTATTTTCTTTTTGGGGATTTTCTTTCTTTTTTGGGTCACCCTGCCTCGGTGGGAACGGCCGACTTGTTGAAAAAAAAAAAAAAAAAAAAAAAAAAATAATATATATTATATATATATATATATATATATATATATATATATATATATATATATTTTATATATATATATATATATATATATATGTCGTGCGAATAGGCAGAACTTACGATCTTGGCTTAAATAGCAACACTCATCTTGCCATATAGGACAAGCGAAAATTTGTGTATGCAATAATTTCGCCAAAATCATTCTGAACCTAACGAAAAAAAATATATTTCATTGTGCTTGTTTAGTATTAAATTATTGTAAACAAATCTAAAATATATTTAGTTGGGTTAGGCTAAAATAAATTGTTCTTGTTATAATAAGGTTAGGTAAGTTTTCTAAGATTCTTTTGGTGCAAAATTAAAATTTTTTACATTAACGTTAATGAAAAATATATATCTTTAAACGTATAAGAGAAAATTTTAGAAAGGACTTAATTTTAAATAAGTTCTTGCTAATTGACCAGTTTTACATATTCGGCACGACACACACACACACACATATATATTATATATATAATATTATATATATATATATTATATTTATATATATTTTTTATATTTATATATATATTTTTATTATATATATATAATTTTATATTATTTATATATATATATAATATATATATATTTCATATTAAGCATATATATACGTTGTATATATAGTGCTTAATAAGCCGAACTTCCCAAATAGGCCGAACTCCCTTAAAAATTGTAATAAAAAAACTTTTACAGATTAAGATATATTTTTTTCGTTGACAGTGATGTAAAAAAAATGTTTTTGACCAAACCTAACTTTAAAAACTTCCCCTAACTTAACGTAACGTATATTTTAAGCCAAATTCTACTAAATATATTACCGATCATTTTAAATTTATTTAATATTATTTAAAATCAATGAAATGTATTTTTTTCGCCATGTTCAGAACGTCTGATTTTAGTAGATTTATTGCATAAACAAAATTTTCACTGCATATTCGGCAGAAACGACCTTTGCCTTTTAGGCCAAACTCACCATTTCGGCTTATTCGGCACGACATATATACATCTTGGCTGAATAATTTGTATATACATCTTGTCTGTGATTTATGATGTATATACATCTTGACTGAGTAATGTATATACATCTTGGCTGATTTATTTATGGCGTGTATACATCTTGGCTGAGTAATTTGTGTATATACATCTTTGAGTAATTTATGTATATACATATTGGTTGAGTAATTCATGGCGTATATACCTATTGGCTGAGTTGTATGACTTGGCAGACAGTAATTTATATTGTATATTTTAACAGCGGTACATCCTTTATTGTAGTTATATTTGTAGTTGTATTTATAAGTTTACACCAGTATACTGTATGAGAAACAAGATGTATTAACGGTTAATGATCATGATGGAATATCTGGAGGTTAGAAATATCAATGTATTTACTGCAAGGGCAGCTAGGGTCTTGTTTGTACATTGTCATGGGCGACACCACCACCACCAGCACTACCACCACTAACAACACCAGCACTACCACCACTAACAACATCACCATCATTACCACCACTAACAACACCAGCACTACCACCACTAACAACATCACCATCACTACCACCACTAACAACACCAGCACTACCACCACTAACAACACCAGCACTACCACCACTAACAACACCAGCACTACCACCACTAACAACACCAACACATACCACCACTAACAACACCAGCACTACCATCCACTAACAACACCAGCACTACCACCACTAACAACCACCATCACTACCACCACTAACAACACCAGCACTACCACCACTAACAACACCAGCACTACCACCACTAACAACACCAGCACTACCACCACTAACAACACCACCATCACTACCACCACTAAACACCACCAACACTACCACCACTAACCAACACCACCCATCACTACCACCACTAACAGTACCACCACCACTCACTACCACCACTAACAGTAACACCACCAGTACTACCACCACTAACAACACCAGCACTACCACCACTAACTACCACCACCATCACTACCACCACTAACAGTACCACCACCATCACTACCACCACTAACAGTAACACCACCATCACTACCACCACTAACAGTAACATCAACAGCACTACCACCACTAACACCACCCCCACTACCACCACCATCACCAGCACTACCAGCACCAGCACTACCACCACTAACAGTACCACCACCATCACTACCACCACTAACACTACCAGCACTACCACCACTAACAGTAACACCACCAGCACTACCACCACTAACAGTAACACCACCAGCACTACCACCACTAACAGTAACACCACCAGCACTACCACCACTAACAGTAACACCACCAGCACTACCACCACTAACAGTAACACCACCAGCACTACCACCACTAACAGTAACACCACCAGCACTACCACCACTAACAGTAACACCACCAGCACTACCACCACTAACAGTAACACCACCAGCACTACCACCACTAACACCACCAGCACTACCACCACTAACAGTACCACCACCACCAGCACTACCACCACTAACAGTAACACCACCAGCACTACCACCACTAACAGTAACACCACCAGCACTACCACCACTAACACCACCAGCACCATCACCACTAACACCACCAGCACTACCACCACTAACTACCACCACCAGCACTACCACCACTAACAGTACCACCACCAGCACTACCACCACTAACAGTAGCACCACCAGCACTACCACCACTAACAGTAATACCACCAGCACTACCACCAGTAACAGTAACACCACCAGCACTATCACCACTAATACCACCATCACTACCACCACTAACAGTACCACCACCACCAGCACTACCACCACTAACAGTAACACCACCAGCACTACCACCACTAACACCACCAGCACCATCACCTCTACCACCACCAGCACTACCACCACTAACTACCACTACCAGCACTACCACCACTAAAAGTAACACCACAAGCACTACC